ATATATATATATATATATATATATATATATATATATATATATATATATATATATATATATATATATATATATATATATATATATATATATATATATATATATATATATATATATATATATATATATATATATATATATATATATATATATATATATATATATATATATATATATATATATATATATATATATATATATATATATATATATATATATATATATATATATATATATATATATATATATATATATATATATATATATATATATATATATATATATATATATATATATATATATATATATATATATATATATATATATATATATATATATATATATATATATATATATATATATATATATATATATATATATATATATATATATATATATATATATATATATATATATATATATATATATATATATATATATATATATATATATATATATATATATATATATATATATATATATATATATATATATATATATATATATATATATATATATATATATATATATATATATATATATATATATATATATATATATATATATATATATATATATATATATATATATATATATATATATATATATATATATATATATATATATATATATATATATATATATATATATATATATATATATATATATATATATATATATATATATATATATATATATATATATATATATATATATATATATATATATATATATATATATATATATATATATATATATATATATATATATATATATATATATATATATATATATATATATATATATATATATATATATATATATATATATATATATATATATATATATATATATATATATATATATATATATATATATATATATATATATATATATATATATATATATATATATATATATATATATATATATATATATATATATATATATATATATATATATATATATATATATATATATATATATATATATATATATATATATATATATATATATATATATATATATATATATATATATATATATATATATATATATATATATATATATATATATATATATATATATATATATATATATATATATATATATATATATATATATATATATATATATATATATATATATATATATATATATATATATATATATATATATATATATATATATATATATATATATATATATATATATATATATATATATATATATATATATATATATATATATATATATATATATATATATATATATATATATATATATATATATATATATATATATATATATATATATATATATATATATATATATATATATATATATATATATATATATATATATATATATATATATATATATATATATATATATATATATATATATATATATATATATATATATATATATATATATATATATATATATATATGAACGAAGAAAGACCGATAATCCACAGATACGAAAGTAAATTATTAATAGTGTAAAGCAGTTAAACAACGCATATAAACAGTATTGCTATTTGCCAAGGATGTGGTTGAAAAGTTAGAATATAGACGAGTGGTAGTAAACAGAAAAGAACCGTAAGCCAATTTCGAAAAGATTATTTCTCTTGCTTAAAAAAAAAGAAAAAAAAAAAAACACACACACAAAAGTTAACAAAAAAGTATGAATTAATATTTAACAATTTCCCTCAGCCTCATTCTTAAGTTGCACCATTTCTGCGAATTAGAAACTTTTTGGGCTTTCCAGACATGCAGTTAAGCGAAAGAAATTGCAGAAAAAAAACGTCTTTCTTTAGTTTCTTTTGTACTAACGATCTATAGAGAATTTTCGCTCTGTCTGAACAATGAAAATGGAATGAAAATGAGGTTTCGCTTCATTTCGGTGATGGTGGTAATGATGACGATTATGATGACAGTGATTGATGGGTGTGGTTAATAGTGATGATGGTGAGGATAAATGATGATGATGATGATGATGATGATGATGATGATGATGATGACGATGACGATGTTGATGATGAAGCTGATGAAGACGATGATGATGATGACGATGGTGATGATGAAGCTGATGAAGACGACGGTGATGGTGACAGCGATGACAAAAATGGTGACAACAACTTTAAGCTAACGAAGTCGATAACATTGACGACGGCGACGATGACGATGACCTTAACCACATGAGCCCAAGTGACCCGACCAACCGGAAAGCCAACCAAGCCCACCAACAGCAACCAGGTCTTCCTTCCTCCTCCTCCTCCTCCTCCTCCTTCGCCCGAAACTCGCCATCGTCCCCAATTACGGCCGTGACGAGGCAGGGTGAGGAGGCTATGTGGACTCGATCTCTTTCGGAGTCGTGTGGCAGCTGGACAGTAGCTATTCTAGGGTGATGTGGCATAAAACATGTGTCTATACGTACATGCATACACCCATTCATACATATATATATATATATATATATATATATATATATATATATA